CTGGAATGAGCTTGAGTTTTCTGACTTCAGTCCTGGTTTTTTCTATTGTTGGTCACAGGCTCAGGTGACATAGACTTCTTCAACACTTAGCAGCTCTTTCCTGGTAATTTCAAGACAGCCAGGGGCTCACTGGCCCCGAGAAAGACAGAGCCAGAGAACCTGTGTCGGCACTGCATCATACAGGCCTGGAGGGCTAGAGGCTTAGAAAAAGCAGGCATCAGCACGCAAGTCAAACATGACCCTACACCTGTTCTTGTAAATGAAGTTTTACCGAACAGCCATAACCATGAGCAATTTATAGATGGTCGTGGAGACTTTTACTCCAATAACACCACTGAATAGCTGTGAGAGACCATATGGCCTTCAGAGGTCAAAACATTTACTATTAGTCTTTATGGAAAAGTTTGGCAGCCTCTGCCTTAGAACTAAAGTGGGGTAGGAGCAGAGTAGGGGATGCCAGACATGGAATCCCCACTGGGACTGGACAGAGAACTTTGGAATCCTGATTGAAACTGAGCTCCAGAACTGACCATGAATCTGGGCCTAGTCCCTCTAAATTATCTGCCTTTATGAATCTGGTACCTAAGGCGCTTGGTCTCCAAGCTGCAGAGGAACTCAGTTCCTTTGCTTACTTTAACTCCCGTTTTGGAGATGAAGAAACTGGGGCCTAACAAGGAAGTAACTTGGACCCAGTTACCCAGAGAATTAATTACTGGGCAGAGCAGAGACTGCACTCTTCCACAGTGGCATCCTTAGTCAAGGACCTGAGGTGGGCATTTTGAGAACAGACTAAGAGGCAAGGGGAGGAGGCCTAAACAAAGCCCCCAGACACTGCCAGGTGAAGGTGGCGAGGACAGGGCCCTTGGCTTTTTGCGCCCTCTGTTGGTTCAAAACTTGGTAAGTGTCCTGCCGGACCCGGCAAGGGTTGAGCCCTGACTCGATGGTCCCTGAGTGTTTCCACGTGTGTGTTCAGTCTGTTACTTTCAGCACCAAGCCCATTCACTTGCAGACCCTCTCACTTCACACAGCTTGTGATGTCTGCTCTCTCCTGCCTCATTGCCCATCCCCAAGCGATTACCACTTTCTGTCCATTTTCTTCAAGCCCTTCTTGAAGTTCTACTCAGCAGCATGCTACACTGGTCATATACCCAGTCCCAAATTTAAGAAGAGACACTCAGGATTAAAGGAACCTTCCAGTACCAAGAAACAAGAGAGCTTAGAAGTGAATTTGTTGAATTAACGAAGGCCCAAAAGAACAAAGTTAGAATGCTTGGCTGGTTTGTAGATACTTTCAGTCAGGGAACTTGATGTTTCCTTATATCACACAATAACAGCTTCTTTCTGGCTTGAAGGAAAACACCAATAAAGCATGTGCTCCAAAGCAAGATTGCCATGTTTTAGAAGAGCCAGGATGTGTGTGTGTGTGTGTATATGTACACAGCTGTGTATGCCGTGGATATGTGCCTGCATGTACAGCATCCCACATTCTCCCAGCTTGAGAGACAGAGAGAAAAGGCTCCTTCTCTCCTGGTGCTTGTCCTCAGCAGCTTGACGGCCCACACTGGGGAGCAGGGCTGTAGGCAGCCCCTTACCACCTAGGTTTCTGCAGTGCAGCCAGTTTCCACTGCTAACACAGAGCAGAAAGGCCCTGCCCCAAGCATGCACGGCAGAGCTCCTCATGACCCAGCTGCATCATCTGAATGTGCATCTGGAGTTTGCTCTTGCCACAACAAGAACTTGGTTTGCACCTCCCTGTCACTTGATCATCCCCAGATTCATACTCTTCCTCCTTTTGCTTCCTTATCCACCTTTAAATGAACTATAAGCATTGTGTTTTGATTTCCTTGTTGTTTTGGGTGCTTCCTCAGAGGATGGCCTCATTTACCTTTATTGAGGCTAAGGAAAAATCTGAAAAGATGATTACAGGTCCTTTTATTTCTTCCCTGACTTCCAGTGAGCATCTCCCTTGCCTGGGATTCTCTGTACAGTTGGGAGAGTCACAGAACTGAGGTGCTGACAGCTTATGTCAGAATCACATGGTGTTTACTGTGCTGTGCGTTTATAACAGCCTTGTTTCCATACTGACAGCAAATGCCATATGGAGAGGGAGAAATCCTGTCAGATAAACTCTTAAGGAATCACAATATGGTTCGAGAAATCTCATAATTGCTTTTGGAAGTGGGGAGAGTTACCTTCCTCAAATCACATAAGAGGCACTGTGCTCTCTCCTGTAATTGAATAAAACAGTTTGACACAGGTAATTTACTTTGGTTCTGTGTTTGTGCTGGGAGAGCTCTACTGATTGGGAAAGGATGCAAAGGTTTGTTTCCCTCCCCCCGGGGACTCGAGCTGAGTGGGAGGCAGAGAGCAGTCAGGCTGTGCTGCCAGGCCTCACTAGAACAGGTGCAGGCTGCAGACCTGTCACGGGCTGCTGAGGCCAGTTTCCCACTGGGGCTGACAATAACACTCATCTAACTTGACATTTTATAACGGTCACTTGGAATCTTGTCTGCTCCCCCACACACAGCCCTGCTGCCCTTTCTGACCAGGTAGTCCGCCCCCAGCCCCCTCAGAACCTGGCACACACTGAGTGAGGTTAAATACACGTTGGAGTGGCTACTCAGGGGCCATCTGTGCTTGGAGAGGTGGAGCCTGCTCCCACGCTGAAGGGCAGAGCTAAGGCAAGAGGCCAGGGCTAGTCTGAGCCATCAGACCACTTGTGGGGTGAGGCCTGAGTCGGGGATTTGGCAGGTGATCATCCCCATTGATCAAAGTATCCACTTGAGAGAAGGACATTTTTGAGTCTCCAACATGTAATACATACAAAATGAACTCCTACAAAATAGTTCCTACCCTCAGACCACGTACCCTGGAAAGGCGCACTGTGAGCTTTCTTTCCATTCCAGGAGACAGACACCAGTGCCATTGATGAAGCAGTGACCCCGTCAGCTAAGTAGTCATCCAGGCCCAGGCCTGACCTCAATGAAGCACCTTCAAGGGCTCCTCTCTTCTCCACTCAGCAGCTTTCCTTTCATTCATTCTCTGTGGACTCTCCCTGCCTAGAAGGAGAGTCTGTCTGGTTCTGAGGTACTGTCACCAAGTATCTATCCAGGAAGTTACGGCAGAAGCCCATTAAGGACTTCAGGGCCCATTCAGGACACATGCCTTGACCTCACTGGCTAGGACCAAGTCTTGGACCTCTCCTTGAACCTACCATGGTGGTCAGGAGACAGAGGCCTCCGACTGGCAATACCTGAGTCACATGCCCATCCTTGACCTCAAAGACTTTGATTGACTGGGGCCAAATCATGTGTCCATCCTTGAACCTCTCCTTGTGACTGGAGGATAGAAGACTGATTGATTGGCTGGGGCTGAGTCATACTCATCTCCAGAGCTTCAGAGTCATCTGCTTCCAGAACCAGAAGGCTTGGGCAGGATTTTTTCAGACTTGGGGAGATGAGGTTCCCTAAAAGAAGGGAGATGGCACAGATCTCAACAACCCACATCCAAGATGACAATAGCAGTATTTATTAAGCATTTCCTATGTGACGGGCTCTGGTTCGCGTGCTTTCTATGCATTGTTGTATTCAGTCCCCATGATGGTCTTGGAGACATGTACTCTTACTGTCCCCAGCTTCTAGATGAGGGAACTGAAAGGCAGTCAAGTCGGTTGCCCCAGATTATACAGCCAGTAAGTGGTGAAGCTTGAACACCAGTGTAGTAGCCCCAGAATCCACATACAGCTCCTTGTCTTCAAGTCCTGTGAACACACCCCTTGGGACCTGAGAGTGGAAGTAAGCTGGCAGGATGATTGTGCTCAGTTCGCTTCCCTCGGCCTGTATCTCCAGAGAACTCCTTTCTAGAGGACGCTGATCTGATCCCTCCATACCCAGCAAAGATATAGTCCTTCTTTCCAGCCGAGTCACTGTTCTCCAGCTCTCACAGTTTCCAATGCAACTGCAAATGGGAAGGCCTAGTGTCAGTACTGCTCAGGAAGAACTTCTTACCAGGATTCCAGAGAGGGCCCTTGTCTCAACTCCAAACATGTGCTTTTGGTTTTTAGAGGAGGAAACTAAGGCCCAGAGAGGGTGAGTGAGGTATTTGAAATAACAAAGCAACTCAAGGCTAGCACTCCCATCTCTGGGCCTCAGGGCTGGGAGGCTTGGACTATTTCCTCTGCAGAGCCCTCAGCTACTGAGTTCGCTGTGGGTGGGTCAGTTCCTGTCTCTGTGAGTGTAGCTCCTCAGCAGGAAAAAGCTAGTTTTGAAGCATCCTAAAAAGTGGGCTTTTCTTCGATGGGGTAAAACCTGATTTTTTTTTTTACTGTATTCATTAGGATGCTTTGTATTATAAGTAATTTGAAAATTTTTCAAACTGTCCTAAACAAAGAGAATGTGTTGCCTCATAAATAAGCTTTTCAGATGTGGTTTGGGTGGCAGGCATGGTTTGATCCAGAGAACTATGACATCACCAGGGGGTTGGCTCTGCCTGTTCATTTTTCCAGCTCTGACCTCCTCCTGGAGTAAGCCTCATCAGCACAGCTGCCTTTCTCAGTAAAAGGCCTCACTCACACACCAGCCTCTGAGGGAGAGAGCACCTCTGCCCCAGCTTCCACTGCAAGGTCTTCAGTTCATCTGATTGGATGGGCTTCGGTCACATGCCTGCCAGCTCCTCCAGTTGCCAGAATCAGGGAAAGTGACACACAGATTGGCCAGTCAGGGGGCACAGCCATAGTCTCCAGAACCACCTGTATCTCCATATAGCATCAGGGCTTTGGAAAGGCAGAGGGGGTGGGGAATAGATGCTGGTTGATGACTGGAGTCTTCTGTTCCTGCCTTGTCTCTCTAAGCCTGCAGAGCCTGTGAGATGCATAGGGCCCCAAGAGTTGGCCATTACCTTGCTCCATCCACCCAGGGCTGTAGACCCAGGTATAGGCTGACAGGATAGCCCTACCTGGCCCTCTCCTGGGTCTCACTGTATTCTTTTTGTCTTGTCTCTAGACAGAGATTACTGCAGTTTATGTGACAAGCAGCCAATTGGGAGGCTACTTTTCCGACAGTTCTGCGAAACCAGGCCTGGGCTGGAGTGCTACATTCAGTTCCTGGACTCAGTGGTAAGTCCCTGCTCCTGAGGGGCAGCCCTGGGTCGTCCAGGTTCAGGGATCATTTTTGCCCAAAGGACTGAAAGCTAGACCTCATGGTTTAGCAAGCCGAAGAGTGAAGTCATTGCTTAAGGAACTGGGGAGTTGGGGCCGGGGATTTAGCTCAGTGGTTCCGTCTCCTGCCTCCCAAGTACAAGGACCCAAGTTCGATCCCAGGTACCAAACAAACAAAAAAACCCCCTAGCTTTAAAAAAACAAAAACAAAAAGAAACGGGGGAGTTGGGTGACTTTCCTGACAGCCTGAGGTGACTCTGGGATTCTGTGGCCCTTCCCCCGCTGAGAACCCATTTGATAAAATCCAAACCTGGTATGTCTCTGTTTACTGGCTTACTGCCTGCTTCCCCACTAGATTCTGGCTCCCGGGCTCAAGGGTTCCTCTTCACCCTGACCCAGCACAGTTCCTGGAAGACACAGGCATCCAGGGAATGTTTGTGGAACAGATGTGCACTGGCTGTTTCAAGCCAGTCTGATCGATTGGTCACCGGCTCAGATGGCCCTGCCTGATGCTGTGAGGGTTTCCTGCAGCTCCACATCACTGGTGCCATTCATTTCTTCAAAAGATGCCTTGATGTGCATGCAGGAGCTTTTAGGACAGGATGTGGAACTATCCCAAGACCCTCAGACCTTGCCCAGAAAGGCACAGCCCTCTTCCCGGCCAGCTGCCCTTTGGGTTTTTATCTGAGGAAGGAGAAGAGGTGGAGAGGCAAGGAATGGTGCAGGGGCCCGGATGCGTCCTTGGCTGCAGCCACCCCAGCTCTGTCCCAGTTTGGGGGATGGCCCTCTAGGGCTCAGGTTTCTGTGTCTCTTCAGGGTCTTCACGTGACTCTCTCCCACCCACAAGCTATACTGCCTGTGGGATGTCACCAGCAGAGTCACTCAGGCCTCTTCAACGTCAGTGTGTCCAAAACGTTCAGAACCTTCTCCTGGGCCCCCAAAGCTCCCAACCCTGACATGTTCCCTATTCCAGTGACTCACACTCCATAGTCACCCTGTCACCAGATGAGGACCTCAACTTAGCTTGACTCATGTCACAGAAACAGAATTTCAGGACACGTTTTACTAGACAGAGTTAAAAGTGAGGGAGAATAGGAAAAGGCTCCAGTTTGAGCACCTGGAAGGGGCTTGTTCTGATACAGAGGTTCAGACTCGCCCACTCACAAAGGCAAAAGCCAGTTTTTAAGGATTAGCCAAGGTGCTCCTGTTTGGTTTTTTGTTTTGGTTCTGGGTATTGAACTTGGGACCTTGTGCTTGTGAGGCAGGTGGCAGAACCACTAAACTAAATCCCCAGCCGCAAGGTGCTCCTGTTTGGGACAGGTGATCTGCACTGGTGATCTTGTGGCTCTCCTTTTCCTGGAATCCAGGTGACCACAGGTCAGGACAATGGCTGCAGACTTCTAAGCATCCTACTAGGGAAACTGGATGTTACACAAAACTGGCAAACGAGTATCCCTGCAAACCTTGAAAATTACTTCAGTTACTCCTATTCTGGTGCCCTTAGTCTTGAAGGGGGATGAGATAGACTAAGTAAATTTAGGGCTAATAATCTTGTTTTCCCAACTTTTCCTAAATGATTAACATTCCTACATGTGGAGCTAAGGAGGAATCTGACCCAGAGTTTTATAGAAGACAAAAAACTGTTCCCTTGTTTCCTTCCTGTCTTTGTATCTTCTATCCTACTCAAGCCTGAAGTCTTTGCGCTGTCCCTGACTCTCCCTGTCCCTCATCTTTCCCCCACCATCAAGACTTCCCCCAAGACTGTGCGCTCCTTGGCCTCCAGGCCCGATGCTTTTCCAATAAGCTCTTCCTGGGTTCTAGCACAGGCCTAGTAATTATAGTTCTCAACCTTGGCCAGGCATTAGAAATTCCCCAGGGGTACTTAAAAACTACCAGCACCTGAGTTGAAGCCCAGACTAATGAGTTTGGATCTCTAGGGGTGAGGCCTAGTGTTTTTATAACTTTTTATTATGAAAATTTTCAAAGCTATAAAAAGTAACAGTTCAGGCGAACAGTATGATGAACCCCCACACGCCCTTTAACCCACCTCAACAATTATCAACTCGGATAGCCAGTCCTATTTCACCGGGCCCCATGCTCTCCTCAGCAGCATTTTGTAGCAAATCTCAGATATCATATTATTTCCTCCGTGAACTTCTCAGTATGTATTTCTAAATAATAAGAGCTCCTAAAAACAACAACAACTAACCACAGTACAGTAGTACAATAATAATCACACCTTAATAAAATATTATCAAACATTAGTGTTCAAATTTCTGCTATTCTCATTCATTTTATAAATTTGTGTTTTAGCCTCTGAACTGGTCTGGGTAGGGCCCACACACGGTGATCGGGCGATCATTTTCTTGGCTCCATGCCCTCTTTTAATCACCTCCCTCTGTGATGTGTTTGTCATTCCTCTAGAGTTCCTCCAGTCACTTAATAGGTTCCTCAGAATTTCTTTTGTAAATCACTTAGTTGGGATTTAGTAACTTGATTAGATTCAGTTTCCCATGTATGTTGGGGGTGTGTGTGTGTAACTGACTTCATAAGTGGTTTCATGATGCTTTTCTCCCCAGGGTACAACGGGGGTGGGGCGGGGCGGGGGGCGGAAGAGGAGAGAAAGGAAAGGTGCAGAGTGGTCCTCCTCATCCTTAGTGGTCCTTCCCGGTGTCATTGTAGGCCAGTGGGAGCCCCTTCATGTGGCTTCTGAGACCCCAATTAGAGCCCAGCAGTCATTGATGGCTCCTTCCTGTCAGGTATGACAGTGGTTTACACTCATCTTGTACTACAGTCCATTGTTTCACTGAGGAACCCCCAGTTTTTTTTCCTGGAAAATGGCACTGGTGACTTCAAGGTGGCACTAGAGTTGCTTATTATCATTAGATAAGCTGTTGCTTCTAGAGGATACTGGCATTTTTCAAATTTCCCATGACTTTAATGTGTACCTGGGGTTGGGAAGCCCTGACATGTAAGATAAAGCCCAGGATTCACTGCCAGGCCCCTTCCTGCCCTTTCATCTTCAGCCTTTACCAGAGTCTTTTCTAGACCCCTGGTTCTGGCCCTAGCACCTGCTCATGGGGGCTGTGACTTGCCAGACCAGCTGAGGCCTTCTGGAAGTGAGGAGCCACTGCAGGGTTTTAACAAAACCATGAACAACGTAGTCTGACTTAGGTGTTTAAAGGATCCTGCCGGCTTCCCTATTGGAGACAGTTTTCTGGGGCAGGGAGATCTGCTAGGAGGCTATTACAGCGACTCAGTGAGAGTGGGTGATGTTGGAGCCAGCATGCGAGCAGTGGTGAGATGTTGTTGGACTGGGCACATCTTCTGAAACCAGAGTTCAGTAGTTCCTGGTGGACTGGGAGTGAGAAGAGTTAAGGATGACTTGGAAGTTCTGATCTGAGCAACTATATGGACGGAGTAAGGTTAAGATTGAGGAAAGATCACACTGGGAAAATCAAGGGCTTCGTTCTAAGCACTGAGCTTCTCAGTGCTTTGTTGGAGAAGTCTAGCAGGTACCCAAGTGGTGACATTCCAGGGGAGATGGCTGTCCATATCTGGAGCTTGTCTCTGGGCTGGAATAGAAAGTTGGGACTTGTCAGCGTAGAGCTGGGCTGTAAAGCCATGGGCTGGGGGAGCTCACCCGGGAGGTGAACATGGATGGGGCCAAAATAAGGACTGGAGACAGAGCGCAGGACCGAGGGCTGCTCCTCCTCTGGAAAAGATGAGGTGGTGGTGCTTTGGGACCTGTCTAGAGAGTTGATGAGGCAGAGCAGGGTGAGGCTGAGCCCAGGAGCCAGTGGAATTTTCCAGCCATGTGTTCTGTTAGATGCTCATAGTTGTTTGAGCAGGGAAAATAAAGTGTAGTGTGATGGTGCCCATTTTCATTCTGGTTGTGCTGTCCTCTCCTTTCTCTGGGCCTGCACAAGGAACTGTTTATTGGAAAGGAGATGTGAGTCTGGCTCCTGTGTTAATGCGCTAAGCACTCTTTGCACACGCTACTGTAACAAAGCCGCTGCTCACCACTTGGGAGAGGCTGCCCGGCCCCTCTACACTTTCATCTCCATCCCCGGGAATCAGGGAGGCCTTTTCTTCACCCATCTTAATGTCAAATGAGCAGCCTTTGCACACCTCTTTTACGCATGCAGACTTTATTGAGTTTTCCTTCTGGTCTAAAATCCATTTTTTCTTCCATCCTGACTGGAACTGAACCCAAGGAGGGAGGAGGTGGCAGTGTCCCTGGTTGTGTTGTACTGCCCCGGGTGCTCCTGGTCTTAGCCAGTGCCATTCACACCATGCCCACCTCTCCCCATTGCATTCCCACCAAGTGAAGTTTGTTAAAAATAACCTGTTCTGGTTGGGCCTCAATATAGGCCCCAGAAAGGCTTCCTTCCCCCTCCAGTCTTAGTATCTGCATTTCTTTTTTTTTGATACCAGGGGTCGAACTCGGGTCCTTGCACTTGTGCAGCAGGCGGCGAAACCACTGAGCTAAATCCCCAGCCCAGTATCTGCATTTCCTGAATCAAGTAGAAGCAGTAGCTGTTTTTAAACAAGGTCTGAGTGGTTTTCTGGGCAGCGGAACTGTGTGTAATGCAGCCTCAAGTCCGGGCTGGCCAGGTGCTTCTGTTGCCTTCCCATGGAGAAACGAGAACCATGACCAAAGTTAAGGCCATGACTAAGTCTGGTCTCTCGGAGGGCAAAGAGGTTTTGGCCAGCTGGCCAGGGGTAGAAAGGGGCTCAGGCTATGGTTAACCCCATGGCCAAGAGGATCTTCCCACAGGTATCTTCAGGATAAATGGACTTCTCCCTGTCCTGCTTTCGAGGCCCTTGTCACATGCTGGCTTATTTGAAACTCTCATGTCTCCGTGCTTGGATGAGACCTAAAGTTTTTAAGTCTCTTCATTTTGACAGTGAGGGAAGTTTGGCGGATACTTAATACATACTCATTGGGGGTCACC